AAATATTATTAATAAATGGCCTTTAAAATAAATCTAAAAAAGTTTTAAAAAAAGTTAACATTTTTCCAGCAACGGAATTGACTTACTGCGCCGGTACGTTGGATTGGCGCCCCAAGCCATGTGCGCAGCACTGCGGCAACTCCTAAAAGTTCACTGAGTTACCCAGGCCTACCTGACCTCCTAGCGGAAAACCTTCAATGGCAGAGTTGTAGATAATAAAAAATCTAAAACTTCTCTACTTAACACTTTTAGGCATAACCTCAAATTAATAATGAAAATGGAGACAAAACAGTTTTTCAGTATTTAATTTTGTTCTCCCTCATAAAAGCTATAATTTACATGAAGGCGTGAAAAAAATATGTCTGGTTTGGTGTTGAATAAGCATGATTTTTCGTAGTTCAAAATACGACTAGTTTTCGAGTTATGTAGGTACATGTTTCTAAAAAAAACTACTCTTATCTTCCACGGGCATTGCCTAGATTTTTTTTGTATATGGAAGGTCTATAAGCGGTCATAAGAGTGGAGTTCACCACAGTAATGCTGCAAAGAGTGCATAATAACGTGATTAAACCGATGCCAAAAAAAAATAAACTGTTGGACTTGAATAACAGTTACAAAATTGGCACTGCAAAGTGGGCATTTGAGTTCAATAAGGGCATAAACACTGATAGTGTCAATTCTGTCATATCATCCTGCAAACAAATGAAGATATCAAAAGCACAGGCAAGTCAAAGACACGCGCACGGCACGTGCCAACGATATTAACGTTGCCGGCGCAAATCTACTAAAATCCGAGGGTGCATCGATTTGACGACTAAGACCCGTCAAATTACTTTGTAGACCGATTTGATACGAATTAAATCGTTACACGATGCCGTAAATATTTGTTAAATAACGGCCACGTGGCATATTTTGTTTTAGCTTTTTGAGCGTGGGATAAAACACACGTAGAGAAATCGGGGAAAAACCTGTCCATCTAGCCAGGAGGCTTTCAAAAAATTTGCAGTAAAAAATCATCTGCTGATTATTCCACCTTGCCACCATTTCCCCACTTTTGATTCATAAAAATTATAGTAGAATAGTTTCTGCATTCTTCGGCTGTTTTACCCGAACGTCACTTTTTCACATTCACGCGTGGCTCTTTCCGGATAAATTCGCAATAAAATTCTATTGAAGTGATAAAGACTATGAAGGAAAAAATGGAATTGTTCATCCCTATCCATATTAAACACCCTCTCGATGTCAGTTATGATAAATTGGATGAAAAGATAATGGGGCAGCAGGACGAAATAGCGCCGAAACTTCCTGCGTGGGGCGGCCGCAGCCTGCAGACTTAGAGAATTAACTGTCATGGATACTATCTTTAAAAACTTGGGGCGTTAAAGGCTTTTGTCGCTCTTTTGTTTGCCCCAACTACTTATGATGTCAGTTATGATTTTATAATGTCAACCGACAAGGGGGTGACTGGGCTCTAGTCGAAATTGTAATTTATATTCACAGTCGAATTTAATAGTCTTCAGTTTAGGAAGAATGGGGCTCTAAGAGAGGCAAATCGATTTTTTACTGCAATTTTTATTCGCAACTTCTCCATCTATTGCCCGCATTGTGGCGGTTTGCAATTATTGTATTCCGGGTTATTACTATGCGATTCCCGTTATTCCGTTTCTTCGGAATCGGATATCGGAAGAATGTGACTCCGCCTTCGCTATTTTCGTTCCAGTGATGCGTTCCTAACCGACACAAACCGCCCTCCGAACCGCCCTGCTTTCATATCTTTATACAAAACGAAACAGTCTCCTTTATGGGGATGCACTTCTTAATGTGGGTAGGTAGGTAGAGGGGTTGTTTGAGATTAAGAAGCAAGAGCGAATGTGGCTTTCAATGTGAAAACCGAACGGATATACGTTCCATGGAAATCGTGTGTTTTTTATTATTTTCTCGTTCGTGCTTTGTGGTCTGAATAAAGGCAATTTTGTTGCAAGTTAAATTGATCTTTTTCGACTCAACATTTTGCTTACAATACATTATTGGTTATTAAAGATCAACTGATTTTTTGCATAGATTGATTAAGGCTTTCTATTGCTCTTTTCAACGAAACTATTTTCTGGACGTTAGTGTCCATTTTAATTTTGCATTTTTCCTCCTATCCTTATCCTTCGTTTCTATCTGCTCAGATTTCGTGATTAGTTTCGTTGAGTCAACATTTTTATGATAATTTTGATTGTAGCTTCTGCTTGCCAAATTAAATTGTTCAATTTTTTACTGTTATTTTTTGTTTTTGTTTTTCTCGGTTTTTTCCAATTTATTCTATGCGATTTTTGCATATATGTAGTTGTGTAAATTAAATTGATGAAACTTTTTGAGTCATTTCATTTGTAAGATTTGCGCGCTTAATTATCAAATTTGCTGTTATTGAGCATTAATTTCCGATTTGTACCTTACGTTATGTCAACTTTTCTTCCATAAAATTTCCAAGTAAATTTTTTTCTTTCGTCTTCATTCTTCTAACTGGTAATTTTTCCGGTAAACATTGTGCAAAATATGTTAAGTCAAAGAAATTGTCGCCAAAATAGAAGACAGAAAAATCACGAGTGCTTGAAAGCTCAAATGAAGAAAGCGGCTTACGCAATCAACGATTAAATTTGTTGGTTTTGCTTTGTGTGTTGTCTAGTGCTTTGTTGCTTGTGTTTTCACTATTTTTGATGGCCATTTTTTGCCTCTTCTTGCCTGTTTTATTTATCCTGCCTGCCAAATTCATCTGGATTTTCACATTAAATTTTTTTTGTTCCTAAATGAGACTTCCTAGCAAAAAACCATTCATTATCAAATTTGTGCGTTTTCCACTTGTTTCGGTCCATTGCAATCATGCGAGTTTTCCAAATTGTTGCTTGTAAATTTTCTGGGACATTTCAGTGCTCAGCTTTTCTTTCAGCACGTAAAAATTGTCAAATTTTGTTTGAGATTAGTAGATTTTTGTTCGAGCAATTTTTCCGCAATAATTTACAATTTGTGTTTTGTCACCTCAACTTTTCTTCCATATTTATTGTCAAGTTGCAGTTTTCCTTCTATATTCATATAGTCTTCGCCTGTGCCTGAGCTGATATTTTGCGCTAAATCTACTAACTGGAATTATTTATGATCAACATTCGGGAAGATACGTAAAAAGAAGAAAATTATTGCTTAAATAAAAGGCAGAGAAGAAACAGGAGGATCGAACACATTCTTATATAGACACCACTGGAGTGTAAAATCGCTCAAAATTTTAAGCGCATTAGGCTGCAGACATATTCTGCAGGATTTAGTAAATATTTATTTGTTCGCACTAACACTCTCAAGCAGACTAGTGGCTTTCGAAAGTTGCTCTCGCTTCGACTAGAGCAAACAGCAATTAAATTTTTTTCGTTGTGCAATTATAGAAGACACTTCTCTGCTAAAGTTCTGAAAATTTCAAACAGATCAGACGAACAGGAAGATTTTTCAGAAATTAATCAATGCGCACTAGATGAGCTAATACTAGCAAGTAGATTGGCGGATCTCACAAATTCCTCGCGTCCAGACTAGGGCACGTAGAAACGTGTTCTTTTGTCTATTTATGGAAAACACTTGAATCTTCAAGTGTTTAAATCTTCAGACTGATCATAAAGCAGAAAAATTTTCCAGGAGTTTTGAAACGATTATTTGATCAAACTCACACTCTCCAGCAGATCACCGGTTTTGAAGAATTGCTCTGGTCTCAACTAGGGCGGGGAGATACTTTAAAGAAGTTGCCTGTCCGCAAAAATTCTGAAAATTTCCACGAGCAGTTTCCACAAAATTTCGAATTTGGTCGTAGCAACTCCAAACGAAGCCAGTTTGGCGTCAAAGAATCGGCGATTCTCCAAATCCCCGATTAAACTGTTTTGCAAACAGCACCCCCATAAAAACGGTTGAAAGGCAGAAACAGGCCGAAAAATGGTCCTTCGAGCCGGATTGGAAGTATGAAAACCGTGACTTCACACTTTGAATTGAACATTTTTTTCAAGATGTTGAGACTACGACTTTTAATGCAATGTTTCAATGGAAAAATCAATTTTTAGCTAGTTCTTCACTTGGATTGACTTTTTGCCCAGCTAATACCGTATTGACCGTCCTCAATATAAAGAATCGAGCTTTAGCCGGCCGATGGCGATTTCCAACGAAAAAAAGAGGTAATATTTCATTCAAATCCGAGTGGAAGGAAAAGTATTACGTGTCGTCCGGTTAAAGCCATAGACATGTGACGTTGCGAGGATTTGCCCAACGGTCTGTGAATGAAGAACAGTCTCGATCGTCCCATTTCTGGCTTAATACCGGTCAATCTCAGAACGCCATGCGATCGGATGGCTTGTTTAAGTCCAGTTTATCGCACCAAATTTATCGCCGATATTCTGAAACCGATCTCGTCTCTTTGGCCAGACTGCATACGTGCAGAAAACAACTGCACTTACGACAACACTGATACTAAAGCAAAGAAAAAGAAACATTTGCTTGCAGAAAAACCAGCCAGGCATCCTAGCAAGCCAAACGAATCCCTCCCTCATGGTGAAATGAACATCTTAAAGCAACGAAGCGATCAAACCCTTGTATTTAGCACCCAATTTGGATACTTTTTAGAGGGCCTCATTGTTTGGACACATCAAATGGTACCGACAGATCAAGGCGGTTCGTTTTATATAGGGCGGCGTTGAAAAATATCTTTTACACAATCTAACAATGAGACCACAGGGGCTGCTTTGTTCATTGCAACTATATGCTGATCTTCATTGAGCCTAGAATGTGCTTATTAGACCGCAAATTTGAAGCGAAAAAGGTTTTTTTGGGCCGCAGATGCTTTCTAAGTGCATGTAAACGGTTGTTCACTAATAGGCAATTTTTGTGACTATTAGCCAAACTTAGCAAATTGCTCTTAATGTTGGCAATTTGCGTGCTAAATCGACGGAAATTTTCAAGCAACGCTGATAACCAAGGCCTTCAAGTCGCATATAAAGGCAAACATTTCTTGAAAGTGGAAAAACGTGCCAAACAATTCAAGATGTTCAAACTTGCTCTGTTCCAGTTGGTTCTTGCCACGGTTGTGCTCATTGTTGCTGCGGTAAGTAATAATTCCCTCTTATTGAGTGAAAAACGGGTTTCGGGAGTTATCTTAAGGGTTTTTTTTTAATAAAAATCTTTGATATGCGCCTAAGAAATAAGGGAAATATCCGATATTTTCCAGAGACCTCAGGGCGAAGCTAAAAAGCTTAATGCTTTTTCTAAAACCCAGCTCAACAAGGAGGCAAAAGGAACTGGACCCAAACAGCCTCTAGCTCTAAATAAAGAGTTAAATGACAGCTTGCTCAACCATCCAGACAAGGATTCCTCATCTGAGCTTAACTTGGGTTTAAACGCTCTAAATGAAGACTTAAATGACAGCTTGCTCAACCATCCAAACAAGGATTCCTCATCTGAGCTTAACTTGGGTTTAAACGCTCTAAATGAAGACTTAAATGACAGCTTGCTCAACAATCCAGACAAGGATTCTTCACATGAGCATAACTTGGGTTTAAACAATCTTATCCAAAATGGCAAAGAAACCAGAAAATCTCTTTTAAATAAATTGAATGCAGTATGGAAGCCGAAGTCATTGCTGAATTCTTTGGGACTGAACTCTTACTTGAACGCCCAAAGGAATCTTGTAAACGTTGAATCTGAAGAAGGGCACCAAGGCAAACAAAGGCTTAACTCCCTGCTATCCAAACTAGACGCCAGCTCCGCAAAACCTTTCGTTGGTATTTCTTCAGTATTTTCCACTGTGCATATATCGAGCCTCAATGAAGAACGCAAACCGCAAGCAGAAGATTTGCTTCTTGCCCTCAACGAGGCTAAAGCTCTAGAAGAAATTCCCGCATAGAGAGGAGATTCAATGGATTATTCATTTTATATGTAGCAACTTTTTAATATAGTGCTTGTTCTTTAAACCGTCATTTCCTAACACTACCAATGAAAAAACCCGTCAATGTTAATTAACAAATAAATGCGAGAATCGATGTAAAACGCGAACTTCAAGCGCCACCAGCATTTTTACGGGGCGTTGAAAAAAATAAGAGTTTAGCAGCAATTTCAAACGCATTAGTAACGCTCGAATGCCATTGGCTGAGCTTGTTTTGGGGGAATAAAGGGTGGGTAAGGGTGCGTTGGGCTCGACGTGTGTCAAGAACAGGCAAGACGCCACTTCCAATACGACGTTTCACGGTAATTGGATTAAAATTTTAATTAATCCGAACATTTTCACCATATTTATTCAGCGAAACAATCGCGCATTTGATTGGGGCGTTCGAATTTTGTCAATTAGTTTGCCTTGTTTTCACCGATTTTCACCAATCAGCTAATGAGGCCGCACCGAACGCACAAATTTGGCCTTTAATTAAAGGCAAAAACGATTCCCGATGGCTGAGTGAAAGAAGACAATTTAAACATGTTTCATCCATCAAGTGATTGTTGTCATCGATGAGATGTAAATGCGCCCGATCGATTACGCCCATGATCTTTTAACGACATCCGAGTAAAAACTTCCAATCTCATTAATTTTCCGGTGCTCACTACAGACGAGATGTGGATGATGCAGACAGAAGGACTGAGGACCTACAAGGGTCGTCAGTCAAGCACTTAATACAAGCAAATAACGCGCGACCAAATTGAGTTAATAGCAATCGCAAGTCATGAAGGCCTAATTGCAATTGGGGGACGAATTTGCTGTTGATGGCTCACATAGGCGCCCTTGCTGCGGATTGAAAAATACGCGGAAATTGCCGTTGCAACACCAAAAGTCCGCTTAGTCTCCAGACTTTGGTCCGGTTGAATACGCCCCTCAAGAAGATGAACAATGAGTACTCATATCTGGGAGTTATTGAGGACACTTGACTATAAAATTGTTGATAGTTTGAAGCTGATGAGGACACAGGAAGACTTTTCAGAAATTTAACTCTGTTATCCGAGCCAACTGAAGTTCTCCAGCAGACTACTCAGTTTCAAAAATTCCTCACTTCCAGACTAGGGCAGGTTAGAAACTTCTTTCCGAGTTTAGATACAGAAGGGAATTCAATGTTAAAGTTCTGGAAATTCCAAGAGAATCATCCTGGAGGTATATTTTTCACGAATTTGCAAACATTTACTTGATGGAACTATCTCACTCAGACTAGTGGCTTTCGAAAATTCCTCTCGTCTCGACTAGAGCAAACAACGACGTGTTTCCTTCTACTTGTATTTCCAGCAAATACTTCATTGTTAAAATTTGGAAATTTGCAAGCGAAACACACTGCAGGAAGATTTTTCAGGAATTAACAAACTTTCGATTCGATGAACACACACTCTCGAGCAGACTGCTTCACTTCAAAGATTTGTCCCGTCCAGAATAAGACCAGTAGAAACTTGACTGTTAACGTGATGAAAATTTCAAGCGGATCATTGTGAATGAAAATTTTTCAGGAGTTAACAAACGTTGATTTGATCGAACTTACACTCTCAAGCAGACTACTGGTTTTCGAAAATTCCCATCGTCTTGACTATGACATGTAGCAACTTGTTTTGTTTTTGTATATTTATAGAAGACACTTAACTGTTGAAGTATTGAAATTTTTGAGTAAATCAGACGACCGGATGAATTTTCACAAATTAACTAACCTTCACTCGTTGGACTAATCTTATCAAGCAGACTTGAAAATTTTTTTGAAAATTCCTTGTGTTCAAATTAAGGCAGCTCGGAATTTGATTCTTTGCTCATTTAGATATAGAAGACACTTTACTGTTAACCTGCTGAAAATGTCGAGCACATCAGCCCGCAGAAAGATTTTTCAGAAATTCAACTCTGTTATTCAAGCCAAGTGAAGTTCTCCAGCAGCCTACTCGGTTTAAAAAATTCCTCACTTTTAGACTGGGGCAGGTAAAAACTTCTTTCTTAGTTGATATACAGAAGGGACTTCAGTGTTATAGTTCTAAAAATGTCAAAAGGATCACGCTGCAGGCATATTTTTCAGGAATTTGCAAACGTTTACTTGATCGAACTATCTCAACCAGACTAGTGACTTTCGAAAATTCTTTTCGTCTCGACTAGAGCAAACAACGACTTGTTTCTTTGTACATTTCAAGCAAATACTTCAGTGTTAACATTGGGACATTTTCAAGCGAAAAGCACTGCAGGAAGATTTTTCAGGAATTAACAAACTTTCGATTCGATAAACACAAACTTTCGAGCAGACTGCTTCATTTCAAAAATTCGTCCAATCCAGACTAGGACCAGTAGAAACTTGTTTCTCTGTCGATCTCTAGAAGATACTTGACTGTTAACGTGCTGAAAATTTCAAGCGGATCATTGTGCATGAACATTTTTCTGAGGTTAGGAAACGTTGATTTGATCGAACTAACATTCTCAAGCAGATTGCGGGTTTTCGAAAATTCCCATCGTCTTGACTATAGCCTGTAGCAACGTTTTGTTTTTGTATATTTATAGAAGACACTTGACTGTTGAAGTATTGAAATTTTTGAGTAAATCAGACTACCAGATGATTTTTCACAAATTAACTAACCTTCACTCGTTGGACTGGTCTTATCAAGCAGACTGTTGAAAATGTTTTTGAAAATTCCTCGTGTCCAAATCAAGGCAGCTCAGAATTTGGTGCTTTGCTCATATAGAGATAGAAGACACTTTACTGTTAACCTGCTGAAAATGTCGAGCACATCAGCCAGCAGAAAGATTTTGCAGAAATTCAAATCTCTTATTCAAGCCAACTGAAGTTCTCCAGCAGACTACTCGGTTTCAAAAATTCCTCACTTCCAGACTAGGGCAGGTAGAAACTTCTTTCCGAGTTGATTTACAGAAGGGACTTTATTGTTAAAGTGCTGGAAATTTCAAGAGGATCATGCTGCACGTATATTTTTCAGGAATTTGCAAACATTTACTTAATCGAACTATCTCAATTAGACTAGTGGCTTTGGAAAATTTCTCTCGTTTCGAATGAGGCATGTAGAAACTTGTTTCGCTTTGCGTTTATAGGAAATACTTGAATGTTAAAACGTGGAAATTTTTACGAAAAAAACATAGCAGCAAAATTTCTCAGGAATTAACAAACTTTCGATTTGATGAATTAACACTCTCGAGCAGACTGCTTAATTTAAAAATGTTGTCCCGTTCAGACTAGAACCAGCAGAGACTTGTTTCTCTGCATATCTCTAGAAGACACTTGGCTGTAAAAGTGCCGAAAATTTCAAGCAGATGATTGTGCATGACAATTTTTCAGGAGTTAACATACGTTGATTTGAGCGAACTGACACTCTCAAGTAGACTACTGGTTTTTTAAAATTCCTATCGCCTTGACTATATCAGGCAGCAACTTGTTTTGTTTTTGTGTGTTTCTAGAAGACACTGGACTGTTGAAATAGGGAAATTTTTGGGTAAATCAGACGACTGGATGATTGTTCACAGATTAACTAACCTTCATTCGTTGGACTAATCTTATCAAACAGCCTGCTGAAAATTTTTTGAAAATTCCAAAATTGACCAAATTAAGGCAGCACGGATTTTGTTTCTTTTCTCATTTGAAAATGGAAGACACTTTACGGTTAATCTGTTCAAAATTTCGAGCAAAGCAGGCCGCAGAAAGCGTTTTTAGAAATTGTCAAATTTTCATTCGATCAAAGTAACACTCTCAAGTAGACTACTGGGTTTCCAAAATTTCTCACATCTAAACTAGAGAAGGCAAAAATTCGCTTTTTTATCCATTTATAGAACAGACTTGTCTGTTTAAATGAGGCTAATTTCAAGGCGATTAGACAGCAAGAAGATTTTTTTGGTATTAACTACCGACTCGATCGAAGTAACATTATCACCCAGACTATTGGCTTTTGAAAATTGCTCATGTCCAAATTAGGACAGAAATAAACTTGTTTCTTTGCTGATTTATAGATAGAAGACTCTTCACTGTTAACAACCGAAAATTGCGAGCAAAGCAACCTGCAAGAGGAGCCTTTAGAAATCATCAAACTTTCATTCGATTGAAGTAACATGCTCAAGCAGACTACTGGGTTTCGAAACTTCCTCACATGCAAACTAGGGCAGGCAAAAATTTGTTTTTTTGTTTATTTATAGAACAGACTTGCGTGTTTAATGGCTGCAAATTTCAAGTAGATCACACAACGGGAAGAATATTTGAAAAATAATTGACGCTTATTTGATAAGACTAACATTTTCAAGTAGACTACCGGCTTACTCCTCATATCCACACTAGGGCAAGTAGAGACTTGTTTCTTGCCTCATTTATAAAAGACACTTGACTGTTCAAATGGTGACAATTTCAAGAAGATTAGAGAGCAGGTGATTTTTCAGCAATTAACGAACTTTCATTTGATCAAACTAACTTTGAAAATCCTAATAATTGATTTTCAACTTTTCGCCCTCGATTTTAAACCCCCATAAAACTTATTCCTGAATTCCGCCCCTGCTTTTGCAGCTTTGCCATACGCCGTCGAGTGTAATTCAGCAGATTTCTATTATCCAGCCTAAATTATGTTGATCGTAAAGTGCAATTGTTTTCTTTTCAAGGCCCTCGCTAATTTATTTTCGCGATCAAGCGCCCTTAGCAGTCGGCCCTGAGCCTACTAGGGATAATTACGCCGATTTTGATTAAAATATCCGAAAAACTGATTGAATTAGGCAACTTGCGTGGATTTCGGCCGCAAAATCTAAAACGCCTAATGAACATCTGCCAAAACCGCACCAGTTAGGGGGAAGTTCTCCAGCCATTTTGTGCCCCGCAACATAACAATGGCATCTGGTTAATAAAAAGCGCCGTTTTACCACATTGGTTATGAGTTCGAATTTAACCGGCAATAAACAAATACTTTGACTCGTCTCTATCTGTTTCCCCCTAGCTAGTAGATAGGGATCCACCCCGTGTTATCTCACCTGCCCTAAGGGTGCACTTTTCAATCAGTTTAATCCAGGGGTGCTTTCGAATGTCGAATGTCTTGTGCCGGCTTTATATTATGTAAACCGAAAATGCTGCAGGGACCGTTTTCGATTCCCATTTAAATCCACTTTCATTCAACAAATGGGGTAAAAAAGTCCTCAAGTTCTACCAAAAATAAAACACTCAGTTCAATTTTACCATGTATTAATTAAAATATGTGGGGGGGTGTGGTTTTGTGCAAGGCTTTGTATACTACAGAGTGAAAAATTGTAGCAATTTAATTTATTTCTCTGCTTCTGTAGTATGCAACCATTTGCTAAAACTTCTGAATAAATACAGTCAATATAATCAATCAGTATCAATCAATATACAGCCAGAATGAGAAGCACGTTGCATGAGTGAAATAAGGCAACACTTTGAGTGTTTGCTGGAAAAGGACGAAACCAGTTTTAGAGGCGGGGCTTCGCTTTATCTGGACTTTTATTGATTTATTCAATTTGCTCCTCATGCTGGAACACTTTAACTAAATGAGTGGAAGATATAACAATAAAAAAATCTGCATAGCAACTCTTTATTAATGATTAAAATTATTAAACGAATTGGGAACTCTCCAAAATGTTTTTAAATTTTTAGCAACTTTTTATATATCATATATTATATAATAGATTTTACACCAAAATTTTAGTAATATGCAACTTTCGACCCTGCTAATCATAAAATTTGAAGCATCTAATAACCATGGCTATATACGTTTATGAATTTTACTTTACACAATCATAATTCATAGAATGATAGAATGATAGGAGAGTGTTAGTTACGTTTTAATCAACCATTTCATCACATACTTTTTCTGAAATTGGAGACTTCGGTTCCCTTACAACCCTCGCATGAAGACAGCCATTAATACGAAACAAACATAGACTAATAAGAAAACCTAACACATAAGCTAAATGGAACGTAAATATAATATTGCTCCCAATTCTTAGATGTGTTGAGCATATAGTGGAGTATGAAAATTGGAAAACGGCTCTTTGCCTTTTCTCTGTTATGGCAGCCTTATTTACAACGTTCAAGCGAAATTACCGGATATAACAAATTTGGCAGTATACTTAATAGTAAATGGTGTCGACGAGGACGCGCATTTTATAACAGAGCAGACGAATCGCGTTATAGAATCCGGTCCAGGTCGCTTGTTATAGAAATACACCATTTTTTAAATAAGTCATATATATTATTCACTTACATATTACACTCTTTTTGAAGCTTCAAGGCTTAATTTAATCAAAATTGCCCACAACTTCAACATGTATACATACATAAATACGCAGGCAGTGTCTTATTTCCTT